TCTGCTCATTTACACAGGTGAACACATACTCACTTATACACAGGGTTCGAATTATGATTTAATCTTTGTGGGGGTCTCTTTAAAAAAAGAGAAAAAAGTAGCCTATGAGCAGGCGTGGTGTGTGGGATAAATAAATTGCTTAACACTACACTTCATTCTTTTGAGTTCAACGTTTATTAATACAGGAGTTGAGAAACGAAGATAATAAACCACCTTATATCACCCTGTTGCTAGGCTATGACTATGTCCTCATGGCAAAGAATGGGCTCTTCAAAGTGGTATCCTTTGGTATTTAATTCACTTTTACTTTACAACAAGCAGCAACCGAGGTATAACATGACCAAAAATACGCCCATGCATGGTGAAATAATGTGAAAAGTCAGAAAGGAGGATAATTCCACTTAACACACACTTACTGTCAAGAACAGGGCAAAAAAGAGAAGAAAGTAGCCTATGAGCAGGCGTGGTGTGTGGGATAAATAAATTGCTTAACACACTTCATTCTTTTGAGTTCAACGTTTATTAATACAGGAGTTGAGAAACGAAAATAATAAACCACCTTATATCACCCTGTTGCTAGGCTATGACTATGTCCTCATGGCAAAGAATGGGCTCTTCAAAGTGGTATCCTTTGGTATTTAATTCACTTTTACTTTACAACAAGCAGCAACCGAGGTATAACATGACCAAAAATACGCCCATGCATGGTGAAATAATGTGAAAAGTCAGAAAGGAGGATAATTCCACTTAACACACACTTACTGTCAAGAACAGGGCAGGATCATACAAACCAAATTTTAGAACATCTTCCCCTAGACTAATCTCATTCGGTAAAATCCTTATCATGTATTTTAAGATAATTTAATTTGTATTTTTCATAGACCATCATATAGCCTATTGTGTTTCCCACAGTATATTTGTGGGTGGAGTTCGGTAGGCTACCTCTATACCCCCCCCCCCCCCAGGAAATTTTTTTTGTACATTTTAAAGTTAAATTCATTAATCTGGTGCACTTTGAGTTACCCGAATCCACTGTTAAAAATCCAACCCCCCAAACCTATGATATTCTTTGATTTAGATATCTGAATCTGATCATCACATTACAATTATTCAAATTCTCAATGTTAAGCATGATAATATGTTAAGATATCACACTGAAGTAGGCTGATTTAAAATTAACATTTATTTAAATTAAAAGTTCTTATTTGGGCAAAATTACATTTCCTTAATAGCCTAAACAGAGGCTTTTTACTCCCTTCAAAGTTAAATTGTCAATGTTTCACTACATCACTGTTGGCAAACACTTTTTTACCTTTATAATAGGGCATTTTTCCCTCTAATTTTATGTATGCTCCATCTTTCATTTAAAATATTCCTTAATTTGATCAATACATTAAATCAGAATAATAAGACAGTAGGCTGTTACAAATCAAATCAAATAATTTACATTGAAAAATTACAACTGTATTAAATGCGCTGATATGTTTTCCTTGATTGGTTTTCTCTAAAGAGAATTACGTTGTTGAAAACGAAAGAAAAGAGTGACGCTCATGTGTTTTACCATTCGAGAGTTCCGTGTCTTTATTCAAATCAACACATTATAATGATTTATCTGTCATCCACCCTCAAAAATGTAATGTTTTTATTATTTGGCTCGCCCGACCCGCGGATTATGATCCGCGCAGCTTATCGGCAAACTATAGGCTACGGTTTGAGAATTGGCACCGGCCGGGAACCCGCAACAGAACCGCCGCGGTGGAAAAAGTGTGTCTGCATGTGACTGTCTGTACGAGTTTCGTCGAGAGCCGGAGGCGGCTGCCTCGTACTTCTATATGCAGGAAAAGCCCTGAAAGGAGTTCGCTAAAATATTGGTGGGGACAATTTTGTCATCTTAAAATACTGATTGGTAGCGTCCCCCAAAATATTTTTTTTTGCTAGTAGGCTACTTATGTGTATTTAAATGTCTGAAAGCTAAAATAAACATTATGTGGTTGAAAACACTGACTACGTTTACATGCAGCCAATAACCCGTTCAAAACCGGGATATTAGCAATAACCCGGTCGCGAACGGCCATGTAAACACCGGCAAAAACCCGAATATGCTCATATCCCGGATTTTAAAAACCGGGATATTATACCGATGCGCGTTTACATGACCAAAAATTTGGGTTAGAAAACCCCTTTTCTAACTCGAATTTTTGGTCATGTAAACGCGCATCGGCATATCCCCATAGTGATGTGTGTTCTGCGCATGTTCTATTCGCAAGGAATCTTGGTCTTTTGAGTAGAGAAACTTCTCGGCGCATACAAAAACCCGCGTGCAGTATACCGGAAGTAAACATGGCGAGACGCAGCACAGCATACTTTTGGAGCAAGGTCAGTAATGTTACCAGCACCAAAGCGCAAACAAAGGCAATCGCTATCTGCCCCGAACTATTCATTATCCGCGTGCTGCTGTTGTTGTTGTCTTTGGATACAGGAAGAAGAATCGGAAATGACGCATATTGCGTCTTAGGGCCGTTACATAGTCAACGCGAGCAAGCAACGCGAGCTACGCGCTCCTTTTCATAGTACACAAGCGTCACCGGCGATGCGTGAAATGCAATACACCGATCGCGCAGCAGGGGGTAGTAGAGTCTAGAGTCGGGTCACGTAAAATTCAGATCAAAATGGCAACTGAAGAGGAGTGCATATTGCTGATTTTACATCGGCGGCAACAAAGGATGTATACGAACAAGCTCGCATAACTTTCCTCTTCGCCCGCCATTGTATTCAAATCTTCTTCTTCTGTAAACATAATAATATACCTTTTTATGTTCATTGCTTGCAATGTCGCCCCCACCGACAACGCATAGTATTGCGTGCATCGGCGCGTCGCGTATCAAAAACTAGGATGACACATTTGGCTACGCATCGACGCATAATGGCGGCCGAAGCGTAGCGATGTGTAGCCTTGCGCACGCGTATGCGTACCGATGCGTTGACTATGTAAGGGCCCTTAAGGCCAATTTATACTTCTGCGTCGAGTGTACGCCGTAGTGTACGGCGTAGGCTACGCACGTAGGCAACGCCGTCATGAGCATTTATACTTCTGCGTTTAGGTCTGCGTTGCTCTGCAGTACAGCGCCGAAACGCTAGTTGGCGGCGGAGGGTTTTAATGTTCCACTGTGTTTAGATTCCTCGCGGCAAGAAGAAGAAGATTCCTCGCGGCTGTTTTGAGTTTAGGTTACTACAAGCAATGCCGACTGAAAGAGAGCAGATCATGTTGGAGTTGGAGCTTATAGAGGTGGAAAAGGTAAATTTTTAGTTTTTTTAACAGTTTCGCTGTACTTAGAATTTAAAAATGGCGGGCGGTGCAGAAGAACACGCCGGAAATGCATAGAAGGAAACGCGATGCTACCAAGCCGACCAATCACAGATCTTGCGGTCCGCGTCGTCGCGACGTGTAGTTACATTTTTGAGGAGGTGCGCGTCAGGTTACGGCGAAGGGTACGGCGTATGGTACGCGTCTGTGCGTATGCTACGCCGTACCTACTGCGCGCACCCGACGCAGAAGTATAAATTGGCCTTCAAGGTTGTCCGTACGTCCAGACGCTAACCGCGCGTCGCGTTTACATCGGGATATTGCAATTCCATGTATACAGGAGTAACTCTCTCTGCTCACGCATGTAAACGGGTTATCCCTAATGTTTCAGAAACCCGAATAGTGACCTTAACCCGACCATAACCCGAAATTTGGCTGCATGTAAACGTAGTCAATTGACAGCACTGAGCGCGTCCGTCTCTGGCTCAGCGCCAGCACGTTTGAATTTAGCAGTTGATCACGTGATGCACCGACCGTTCTAATCACACCGGTACGTGCGAAAGGGTTAATAAATATGCCTCGATATATTGAAGGAAAAAGTGCTTTATTTGTTATTTAAAATAATGGTGCTGAGGATTTTTAGAGCCCCCACAGGTGTAGGATTTTCCTGCTTTCATGGGAGCTCATCCTCTCTCTATGGGTGCTCAGCTCCCACTGGCTCCCACGTAATTCGAACCATGCTTATACATGTAGCTATTCAGGACGAGCCCCCAATTTCATGTTACGACCAACTCGTTTAAAGCCGCAACATGAAAGAGGGATCAACTCAAATGTTCAATGAATGAAAAAAAAGATTTTATTCTCTTTAACAAACATAACAATAACCACTCATAACAAACATAAGTCTAGGGAAAATGAAGAAACAAAGAAATAAACAAAATAACTACAACAAAATATTAAAGCTACATGATATAATGATAGGTATAAGTATAAGAAAGAAAAGCAAATGAGATGTAGAGAGCAACTCCTGTGAGAAACTATCCCACAGAGAGTGCCTACCAAATGAAAAACTCAAACACTTAAATACTAAATTTCCTAATTAACAATTAACATGGGGGAGTGACTCAAAACTCCCACAGACTGCCAGCATCAGGTAAGGAGTACACTCAGGGTCGTCGCACCTCTGTTTTTGAATGATCAATGTACTACAACAGCTACAACAGCTTGTGTGTGTGTGTTACCTCGCACACACACACACACACTAAACATTTAAAAAACTTTTAGCCTTTTATGTTCAAACACCCGAGTCGGACAAAGATGGAGAGACTCAAGAAGAAGTGACAACATGTAGAAGCAACAGGACATTTCTGAATGGTAAGTTGATGCATTTATGTACCTTATGTGTCATATATTAACATATTCTGTTATGATAATCTATAAATCGTGTTCCGGGGGCGGGGTTTATGTAAATTTTAGGGTTGGTGATGTCACTAACCCGTGAAGAAGCTCGTGTAGTTCCTACCAGCCGTGTGTTGTAGTCCTTAAAAAGCAATTTCTGTAAAATAAAATGTCTCCCTTTGCTTTGAACGTTGAGCGTCGTAACTTTGCAGATGTTGTTTATGCTCAAACAGCAACATTACACACTAACTAAAGTTAGAAAAGTGAAATCATAATCAAACACCCCTTTAACTCTTACCCAGCAGGTCTCCGTGCACCAAAGCCAGCAAGTACCACAGCAGTCCGAAGCCGAACCACGTGCCCACAAACGTGGCGCTGAACAGAACCAGTTTGTACCTCCACTGCATGTCCACAAAGGTCGTCCAGGGGTCACGCAGGTACAGAGCGCCACGCCCACTCACGTGCTCGATGCGCACGTTGCTCCGCCCATCCTTGGATAAGACCCGCCTTCTGCGTGTCACCTGACTCCCAGGCCCCGCCCCTCCGAGCAGAGGCTTCAGAACGTCTGTCTGAGTCTGGGAGTGGCAGACCTTCTGAGGGGCGGGGCCATGAGAAGAAGTGGGCGTGGCCGACGTCATCTAGAGGAGAAACAAATGATGCTCATTTACATTTATAATAATAATAATAATACATTTGATTTATTTGGCACCTTTGTGGACACTCAAGGTCGCCTAATTTATCCATTTGGCAGACGCTTTTATGTTTTTAAAGTCCCCCTTTAAAAGATGTTCTAAAGAAAGAAGAGGCGACAGTAAAAAAACAATGGAAAAGATTGAGATTAAATTGTTGGTAAATTTGCTTCAGATTTGATCGTGCGATACTTATATCAGCGCGTGTGCATTGACTGCTATAGGCTTGAAATACAAATATGCACATTTTAAATTCAGCTCACTTGTTTTTCTGCGGTACATTTGTCTAGTGGTCTATATTTCAGTCCGCGGGGAGAAGCTCGTTGAATACAGTTGATCTGATTAATCATATTTTGCATGAGAGAGACTTTTAACCAACAATTCGTGGAAAGAAACGAACAAAATGAGGGCGTTTGAAAGGTATCCAGACTGGCAACGTTTCTCCGCATCCACCCGTTTAAACTCGTTCCATTAGATATGAAATATAGCAAGTAGACGCTTCAGGATTTTCTACGCACTAATGTGACTTTCTTTATGGATTGAAGTCCCAGTGAAATCTCAATGTGTGATGTATGAAGTCTCACAGGTGTAGAGAATCGCATTAACTATCAACATCTTCCACAAACAAGCTAGCAACATGTTTCATCATAATAGCAACATGGCAACATGCTTAATCATGATAGCAAGGTGTTAAACATGCTAATTTATGTTAACCACATGATAAAAAAAGCTAGCAACATGATAAAACATGTTAGCAATGTGCTAATTAAAGCTAGCAACATCCTGAAACATGATAGCAATGTGTTAAAACATGCTAATTTATGTTAACCACGTGATAAAAAATGCTAGCAACGTGATAAAACATGTTAGCAATGTGCTAATTAATGCTAGCAACATGCTAATTAATGCTAGCAACATGCTTAATCATGATAGCAATGTGTTTAAACATGCTTATTTATGTTAACCACATGATAAAACATGTTAGCAATGTGCTAATTAAAGCTAGCAACATCCTGAAACATGATTGAAGTTTATTGAATCATGGTAATAACATGAAACTTCATGTTAGTTTCATGTTAGTTCATGCTGGCAGCATGCTAAATCATGTTAGCAAACATGCTCATTCATAATAACAAAAGTCTGTTTGGCAACATAGACGCTTCAGGATTTTCTATGCACTTTGACTTTCTTTATGGATTGAAGTCTCAGTGAAATCTCAATGTGTGATGTATGAAGTCTCACAGGTGTAGAGAATCGCATTAACTATCAACATCTTCCACAAACAAACACAGAACGGGCATCTTAACCACAAATGTGAGCTTTAATTAATGGCAATTTTTGTCCAAATGTGTTTTGTTTGCACTGTCGATACAATTATGTTCAATAAAACAAAGTCTCTATTCAGTTTTTCAGCAGAACACTTATATAACAGCATTAATTATATTCAGTGTTATGTAATCCTTTCACAATCATCATCTGATCTCACACTGCGTCAAATGTGTCGTTTCCTTGCTCTTTATAAATGTACCAGTTGCTACACTGTAAAAAAAATGTATTTGAAGTTGCTGTAAGATTATTGGAGTGCACTTTACCAAAAAAAAAAAAAAAAAAAACCTATTTCAGTTTTTCTACTTCAGAATTTAATTTTTCATTCAGTGTTGCTCACTGTTTCTTTGTAATTGATGGCTAGCAACATGCTGAATCATAATAGCAACGTGCTAAAATATACAAGCAACATGCTAATTCATGTTAGCAATGTTGAAACATGATAATATGTTAATTCATGTTAGCGGTATGTTAAATCATGCTAGCAGCATGCTAAATCATGCTAGTAACATGCTAATTCATGTTAGCAATGTGTTCAAACATGCTAGTAACATGCTAATTCATGGTGCATGCTAACAACATGATAAAACATGTTAGCAGCATGTTCAATCATAATAGCAACGTGTTAAAACATACCACCAACATGTTATTTCATGCTAGCAAACGTGTTAAAACATGCTACAATATGCTAATTCATGCTAGCAATGTTAAAACGTGATAACATGCAAATTCATGTTAGCAAATGTGTTAAAACATGATAACATGTTTATTCATGTTAGCAACATGCTAAATCATGCTAGCATAAAGCTAATTAATGCTAGTATCATGCTAATCCATGCTAGCGATATGCTTAATCATGATAGCAAATGTGTTAAAACATGCTATCAACATGCTTATTCACGCTAGCACTATGCTAAATCATTCTAGCAACATGTCAATTCATGCTAGCAACATGCTAATTCATGCTAACAACATGATAAAACATGCTAGCAACATGTTTAATCATAATAGCAACATGTGTCAACTCATGCTAGCAACATGCTTAATCATGATAGCAATGTGTTAAAACATGCTAATTTATGTTAACCACAAGATAAAACATGCTAGCAACATGTTAATTCATGTTAGTAACATGTTCATTCATGCTAGAAATGTGGTAATTCACATTAGCAATGTGTTAAAAAATGCTAGCAACATAATAAAACATGTTAGCAATGTGCTAATTAATGCTAGCAACATCCTGAAACATGATTGAATATATTGAATCCATGGTAATAACATGCAAATTCATGTTAGTTCATGCTAGCAGCATACTAAATCATGTTTGCAAACATGCTCATTCATAATAACAAATCGTTGAAACATACTAGCAATGTGTTAAATGCTAGCAAAGTGTTAAAACACATTAGCAACATGTAAGATAATGATAGCAAAATGGTTAAACATATATGCAACATGTTACATCATAGAAATGTGGTAAAAGATGTTAACAACATGTTAAATTGTGTTTGCAAAGTGTTAATTCATGTTACCAACATGCTAAAACATTATAGCATACTGGGCAAAGTAATAATAATAATAATTCATTACATTTATATAGCGCTTTTCTCAGCACTCAAAGCGCTTTACAGAAGGGGTTATCTCCTCAACCACCATGGTGTTAAAACATGCTACTGTAGCAACATGTTAGAAAATTGGTAAGACATGTTATTAGCATGCTAATTAATGTTAGCAAAATGCTAATTCATATACAATTCATATATAATTCTTATTTTTTTATTTTTTTTATTTTTATTATGTGATTATATTTATTTATCATATATAATTCTAATACAAAAATGCAAGCCGACTTTTTAGTTATGAAATTTTCTAGGAATTTCGGCATGAAAAATTGCACAATTAGTTTTTTCCTCATTTTCATTTAGTATACATAAAAAATGACAAAATACCAAACGAAATTACTAAAATTAAATTTAAAATGGAAAATATAAAATAAATGGAAAATATTGCATGAAAATATATGTATAAATATATAAAATAAATGGAAAATATTAAATGAACATTAAATTAAAATATAATTTTTTTTTTTTTTAAAAATTCAGTGTAGTCAAACAATATATAATATATATTCCAGGAGAAAAAAAAGAAACAAAAAAATCTGAAAACTTCTTGCATGATTTGAAACAGATCTCACATTCATGCGTAACAATACTGTGGTGTTCTGTCTGAAGTGATATCACAATCCTGAGGCGTTTGATACTTTAGTTTGAGGTGCTCTAGTTTTACATCTCAGTCTCTCTGGTGCCTCCTTATCAACACTTCCCATTTCTCTCTCTCTCTCTCTCTCTCTCTCTCTCTCTCTCTCTCTCTCTCTCTCTCTCTCTCTCTCTCTCTCTCTCTCTCTCTCTCTCTCTCTCTCTCTCTCTCTCTGTCTCGTGTACAAAGGAACGTATTGTTTGAAACACTGACCAACAGGACAAAACAGAGCACTGACAAACATATCTTTGTGTGTGTGTGTTGTGTGTTGTGTGTTGTGTGTGTGTGTGTGTGTGTTTGTGTGTGTGTGTTGACACAATAGCAGCTCATTAGTATTCAAAGTGGATAACGATCCCCCCTCCGCAAATCTCAAAGCCACAGTCTCACTTTACAAATTCTCACTTTCTTACTTTCTTTCTTTCTTTCACATTATTGCATGCACACAAATACACAGACAGAGATTAGCTCAGGAATAGCTATCCTGGACTCTTCTAGTAAGTTTTCACACAGATTTTACACTGGAAAAATGTATGTTTCTGTCTGATTTTCCAGCACAAACATCTAAACATTCTTAAATCAAGACACATTTACTGGAGAAGAAGCAAAATGACTGAAAATACTGTCTTGTTTTCTGAAAAATGCTTTAAAAAGAAGTGATTTTGTGCTTAAAAACAAGTCAGAAAAATAAACTTAATTCAAAGGGAAAACTAGATTCTGTTTCTGACCCATTAGCAGATATTTGATCTTGTTTTAAGCACAAACACTTCATTTTGATACAGTTTTGAATTGATATTTTAAGTAATTTTTCTTCTCCAGTAAATTTATCTTGATTTAAGAATGTTTAGATATTTGTGCTGGAAAATGAGACAGAAACACATTTTTTTTATGTAGTATAATGTTTTCCTAACCTTAACCCTTCCTCGTCTGCATTGCATAAGCTTATGAGTTTGTTTCCCAGAACATGATAAAAATCATCAAATGTTGGATAAAAGCCTCTGCCAAATGCATTAACAGGAACAAATAACTTCTAACAGATATTGAGGTCTTTGTAATATGGAAGCGCTTGATACAACTGTTCTGCAAAGATGTATCATCTTCATATTTTTGCTTATGTAGCAATAAATGCCAGATAAAATGTTCCTGTGTTAGAAGGAGAAACACAACTGTGTGTGTCTTACCTTACGCGGCTGCGGTCTATTAGCACACACACACACACACACTCAGGTGTTCAGCTTCAATAGAGATTCTGCATTCACATCTGATCAACATGTTGATATTCCGTATGAAGTTATGAAAGTAATGTTAACTTTACGAAACACAAGCTCTTTAGATGGAGTGAATCTCGGTGCACATCTCGCTTTTATAAATCTCTCTCTCTCTCTCTCTCTCTCTCTCTCTCTCTCTCTCTCTCTCTCTCTCTCTCTCTCTCTCTCTCTCTCTCTCTCTCTCTCTCTCTCTCTCTCTCTCTCTCTCTCTCTCTCTCTCTCTCTCCCTCTCTCCCTCTCTCTCTTCATTCATGAACCTCTTTGTTCTGCTAAATCTAAAACTATACACAGGATTTTGCTCTGTTATTATTTTGTAATTTTTTCAGGTATGCATCCAATTATGAATCTTCAAATGAATCTACAATAAATAAGTGTGTTTTTAAAAATGATTATTTTTAAATGAATCATTAAATTGAACTAAATAATAATAATAATGATAATAATACATTTTATTTAGATTGCGCTTTTCTCAAACCCAATGTCCTGAAGACAAAAAGTTTACATTAAGATTAATTATTGCAAAATATAAAAGAAATGTTAAACCACTTAAGACACATTTTACATTATGCATATGTTTTTTTTAAACAAAAACCTTTAAACCATGTTAAACCTTTAAAAAAACTTAATTAATGGACATTATGCATTAACAACCAAGTATTACAAGTATATAATATCCAATTTGTATTATTTATATTTTAAACAATTACTATATTCTGTAATTAAAATTTGGATGACTTGAGTTGTGAATAAGAAAACAAACTTTTGAACAATTTTACATTCAGGCAGTAAATATCTATATTTTTTAATTTTGTAAAAAAAAAACATAAAAGCCACAAACTTAATTAATTAATTTTAATTTGTTTTTTTTCCACTTTTTTAAAAAACATTTTCTTTATTTCAGCCTAAACAGTGCATCATAAATATTAACACGATTACTGCACTATTGCTTGAGATATTTGTGTAAAGAGTAACATTCCAGTGATGCTTTGATGCTTTAGTGCCGGTGTGAAAGGAGACGCTAATTAAAGGGCTTTTCTTTCATGGTCTCATTCTTCATCTGGGAGTTTTTGTTCTGATTCAGGAACTTTTGCACAAACTTGCAAAAAAAGTGTAGGAAGCGCGAGAACAGAACATCCTGAGAACACCAGCACTCAAACACTCAAAGAGCCTGTGAGAGGAATAATAACGCAGAGAGTGAACAGCGTTTCTTTAATGTGTGTGTGTGTGTTACCCCTTTTCCACCAAAGCATTTTGAGAGCCGGTTCGGATCCGGTGCCTACTCGCGAACATGTTCTTTGTGTTTCGACAGCCAAAGAACCGGTTCTCGGCCAGGAAAATTGGTTCCAAAGCGGCACCAACTCTTTGCTGGACTAGAACCGTACTTTTATCACCTCATGCTTATGTCTGGGGCGGGGTTATTGTGACCAACAACACGACGGGAACGGGAAAGCTAAGACGTATGGTGACGTACACAGGGACATAACGACTCGCGAATCAGTTCTTTGTGTTTCGACAGCCAAAGAACCGGTTTTCGGACAGAAAAATTGGTTCCAAAGCGGCACCAACTCTTTGCTGGACTAGAACCGTTCTTTTACCACGTCATGCTTACGTCGGGGGCGGGGGGCGAGGTTATTGTGACCAACAACATGACGGGAACGGGAAAGCTAAGACGTATGGCGACGTACACAGTGACGTAATGACGTCGTTCGCTGGGCTCTCTTAGTCTGTGGAAAAACACACAAGTTCCGAGAAGGTTCGCAAGTTGAACCAACTTTGAACCAGCACCAGTTCCGAACAAGATCTTTTTTGGTGGAAACGAGGTAAATGTGTGTGTGTGTGTGTGTGTGTGTGTGTGTTTGTGTGTGTGTTTGTGTGTGTGTCCTCCTCTCCGGGGGATTGCCACCTTGTCGTGGTGGAGAGAATTGTGTGGTCCTGTGATCCCAAGAGCAAGGCTGTCTGGAGCTATGCTCCTGGTATAGGGCCACCCATGGCGGGAAGGTCAAACCAAGCAATCCAACCAACCAAGACCTCAACGGTGGAACAGGCGATGAATGATGGCTGGCCATAGGGAGCATCACAGCGGCTGGGAAGGCGGATGAAGGCTGGAGCAGAAACGGGCCCCCAGTCGTCTTGGACTCCATGCCACTGGATTGTGACCCAGATCTGTCAAGGACCGTGTGGTGGCTGTCTGTGCACCAGCCTCTTTGGGAAACCACCCTAACACCCCGGTTTAAGTCCTATGGCGACCAGAAAGTGGTGACGGGGGCAAGATTGTGAGATCTGGAAGCCCCTAGGCATAAACTCGCTCCTACGAGTCTACGTCCCTAGAAGCCTACGATCAGTCAATGAGCGACGGCTCGTGGTACCATCACAGAGAGCCACTCAACCACACTCCAGAACATCTCATTCACGGCTGCATGCTGGTGGAATGATCTCCCCATTCCCGTCCCGAATGCAGAATCCCTGATAACATTCAAAAGACAACTGAAAACCAATCTCTTCCGTGAGCACTTAATCTCTTAAAAAACTCTTTCCTTTTCCCTTGATCCTGCCTTGTCTGGCTTATGCTACTCTGAGAAATGCCTGCACTTTGTATTTTGAGCACTTCTTGCGTTGTTTTTGCCTCTTCACGATGACTTGCTTTAATTTAGTCCTAGTTGGCAAGTCGCTTTGGATAAAAGCGTCTGCTAAATGACTAAATGTAAATGTAAACTGGCACATTAGGTGGTGAGTGCTAGACTCAGTCGCTGGGCTCGTGGAACGAGGCAGAAAGTGCCCTTCGGCAGTTGCACCCACGACTGAGCAGCGCTCTTTAGGATCCACTCTGCTCACCCCACGTGGGGAAGAGGCTAGCCTGCCTCAAACCTCCCGACTGGATTACCGCGTCCAGAGGGATCACAATTCGCGGTCAGAAACACAAAACTATGAACTTTGGAGCCTGGAATGTGCACACACTGATGGATAGTGCAACCAGTGATAGACTGGAGAGGAGAACTGCAATCATCGCTAGAGAACTGAATAGATACAGGATTGACCTAGCCGCCATCTCTGAAACCCGACTAGCAGACGAAGGACAACTTCGCTTTTCTGGGTACTCAAAGCCCTTTACATGGAAGGGGGAATCTCCTCAACCACCACTGATGTGACACACCACCTGGATGATGCGACGGCAGCCATATTGCGCCAGAACGCCCACCACACACCAGCATACTGGTGGAGAGGAGACAGTGATTAAGCCAATCAGTATATGGGGATGATTAGGAGGCCATGATGGACAGAGGCCAAGGGGCAAATTTGGCCAGGACACCGGGGTTACACCCCTACTCTTTTTCAAAGGACATCCTGGGATTTTTAATGACCACAGAGAGTCAGGACCTCGGTTTAACGTCTCATCCGAAGGACGGTGCTCTTTGACAGTAAAGTGTCCCCCGTCACTATATTGGGGAGTTAGGACCCACACAGCCCACAGGGTGAGCGCCCCCTGCTGGCCTCACTAACACCTCTTCCAGCAGCAACCTGGTTTTCCCAGTAGTCTCCCATCCAAGTACTGACCAGGCTCAGCCCTGCTTAGCTTCAGTGGGCAACCAGTCTTGGGCTACAGGGTGATATGTCTGCTGGTGTTGGACTTGCCATTAGGAACCAGCTTATCAGCCCCCTCCATGAACTTCTATTAGTGAGCGTCTCATGACCATCCGTCTGGTGCTTGCCAACAACCAGATAGCAACAGTTGTGTGCGCCTATGCCCCTACTATAGACTCTGACGAGGAAGTAAAAGAGACATTCTATGCCTGCTTAGATATTCCCAGGGAAGATAAGATTATTCTCCTAGGAGACTTTAATGCCAGGGTTGTCCGGGATCAACACCTCTGGAAGGGCGCTATAGGAAAGGAAGGCATCGGGGACATCAACTCTAATGGAGTTATGCTTCTCAGCAAGTGTGCTCAGTATGACCTCACTATCGCTAACACTCTCTTTCACCAGAAAAACAAATTGAAGGCATCTTGGAGACATCCCCGCTCCAGTGGCATCTAATTGACTATGTCATTGTACGAGCCAGGGACCGCTGTGATGTGTACATCACAAGGGCCATGGTCAATGCCGATGACTGCTGGACAGATCATCACCTCATCCGCTCCACAATGTCAATTAAACTCAAGAGGAAGAGCTCAAAACGTGATTCACGAAGAGCTGGATGAAACGTCAGGCCTTTCTTGGGGAAAGCCTCCGACAAGAATACCCTGATGACATTGAAGGACACTGGAGTCTGCTAAAGTCCACCATCCTTGGTCCCTGCAAAACCGTTCTTGGGTACAAGTCTAGAAAACTCCAGGACTGGTTTGATGAAAATGACACAGAAATAAAAACTCATCTCAAAGAAAAGGAAAGCCTTTTGTGCCTGGCAAAATGATGTAACCTGCAAGGCCAAAAGGTTGGCTTATTCCAGAGCCAAGGTGGATGTCCAGAGCTGGGTGAGGGAGTTAAAGAACTCTTGGTGGAGAGGGAAATCCAGAGACTGGCAGACTTGGGTGACACCAGAGGCTTTTTTAGTGCTACCAAGGCCGTCTATGGTCCAAGTTACCGCGGCCTAAACCCCCTGCGCACAAAGGATGGGCAGGAGCTGCTGAAGGACAACGACTCCATTAATACCCGATGGAAGGAGCACTTCCAAGAACTCCTCGACAGTGACAGCACACCAAATAGACATTATCTAACACATCCCCCAAAGTCTCATCAGAGAAGACATGGGGGAACCTCCAACTGTAACAGAGGTGCAAGATGCCATCAGGAGCCTTAAGAACAACAAGGCCGCCGGTCCAGATGGGATCCCAGATGAGATCTTAAAGGAAGGTGGATCAGACCTCCTGTACCACATTAATGCCCTTCTCCTTAAAGCCTGGGAAAAAGAAGCACTTTCCTCAGAGCTCAGGGACAGGGACACTCTAATAGTGACCATATTCAAGAAGGGGGACAAGGCTGAATGTGGAAATTACAGGGGCATATCGCTCCTGTCAACAATAGGCAAAGTCCTTGCAAACGACTGCTACCACTGTCTGAGGGAGTACTCCCAGAATCACAGTGTGGCTTTCGCCCATCCAGAGGTACAGCAGACATGATATTCACAGCACGGCAACTATAGGAAAAGTACCGTGAACAAAGGCAGCTTTTGTACATGGCCTTTATAGACCTGACAAAGGCTTTTGACATGGCGGACCTCCAGGCGTTGTGGAGCATACTATGAAGGTACGGCTGTCATGACAAGCATATTAGGATACTGAGGCTTCTACATGATGGCATGTCAGTCACAGTGCTCAGCAACGGTGGCTCCGAGTCTGAGCCTTTCACAGTGGAAACAGGGGTCAAACAGGGATGCATCATCGCACCCACCCTGTTTGCAATCTTCATTGCAGCCATACTCCACCTCATTGGCAAAGAGCTGCCAAAGGGGATTCCAATCATGTATAGAACCGATGGCAGACTCTTCAACCTTAACCGGTTCAAGGCCAAGAGCAAAGTCAGCTACACCACCATCACAGAGCTTCAGTAGGCGGATGATAACGTCATCGCAGCACACTCTGAAGAAGACCTCCAGGGCATCCTGAATGCCTTTGCCAAGGCGTAAAGAGCCCTGGGCCTAAAGTTAAACCCAGGTCCTATATCAATTTCCACCCAACCAGCCAGCTACCCAGCCCACCATAAAAGTGGGCAACACCACTCTTGAAAACATGGACCACTTCCCCTACCTTGGCAGCCTTCTTTCCTCAAAAGCTGACATCTGAAGTTAAAGGGATAGTTCACCCAAAAATGAAAACTCTCTCAGTGATTACTTTACCTCATGTTTTTCCAACCCCGTAAGACTTTCGTTCATCTTCGGAACACAAATTAAGATCTCACTGTCTCACTCCTCCATAGGCTTCTATGTTATTGAAACTTGCCGGCCCAGAAAAGTTAGTAAAAACATTGTTAAAATAGTCTAAGTGACTACAGTGGCTCAACCATAAGTTTATCAAGCAACGAGAATACTTTTTGTGCGCAAAAAAACACTAAAATAACGTCTATTCATTTTCTTCTCTGTGGGCCTCTGAGTGAGTTCAAGTAGTGTAACAGCGCAGCGCTTCTGGGTTGTACGTGACGTGAAGCATCACACATATGACCAGCGTATATATTTTTGTTATACCTATAGTCAAAAAATAAGTGAATTACGTTTTTCCATATATTCAAAAACACACAAAGCTCAGAATGTTATATTCAACATTTATATGCTAATTCATTTCACATAAATATTAATTATATTTTTAAGTGTTCTAATCTAATCTTTATTTTTGCCTTAAATATATAAACAATAATACCGTAGGCCTAATATAAAAAGAACAATAATAATGTAGAAAAGAATATAATATTATAATACAAAATAATGTAACATTAAAATCAGAATTAGGGTACAATCGGGTAAAAGTATAATTCAACTCAATTCAATTCACGTTTATTTGTATAGCGCTTTTCACAATTCACATCATTTCAAAGCAGCTTTACAGAAAATGCATGAGTCCATATAAAAATAATGCTTTCTCACAAACTGTTCAGTCTCTCTAAACTTTAGTGAACACAATCATAGTTTGTGTATCAGTAGATATGCTTTTATGAATGTGAAATTTGGTGAAAAATAGAAGTGAATTCATTTTAAATAGCACTTTTCAATAACAACGACCCCCGCCCCCGCCCCCGCCGTATTAGTGCGGTAAGTGACGTCACAAAGCTCAGGAAACGCGCGCATCATCCTTCACACACCCGCGCGCGCAGCCAATGAGCGCGCGAGTCTTATGAATGGAGAGTCTGATGGAGGAGGAAACGCTTTTTAAGGTCATTCTCATTCCTCCCACACACACCCAGAGCCAGAAGAAAACAGTTAAACGGGACACCGAGGGCATAAAAGGGAACATTTACCGGAGACGCACATACTGAACCGCGCAACTTTAATTCTATTCGTCTTCTCCACTTACTGAAACTCATCGAGATGTTTCCTGATTCAACTACAGGGTGAGTACACGCACTTTAAAACCCTTAAAGATAACAAAAGTTGCTTTTGAGGGTCATAATCTGATAGTTGATAACTTGAACACTGATGTGAATCACTTTAGCTTCATATTTTAAATTATATAGCTATAGGCTGTGTCATGTCTGGCACGCGCGCGAATGGTCTATAGCCTACGTCATAACTGTAGCTCTTAGATTAGACACATCGTCATATTATCGCTGTATTATTTATTTATTTCTGTTAAACAAACAGGCTGTGCTGAAACCTGTTAAACAGGTTTGGCACATACGCAGATTCCTAACAGGTTTGGCACATACGCAGATTCCTAACAGGTTTGACACACACACACACACAGACACACAAACACATTCGCACATTCCTATCTGACATTCATGTGCTACTGTAGGTCTACACCACGATGATCTTTTACTTCTCAGTAACAAAATCTAGTTAGGGTTCAGAGTATTTATTTTTTCACCCATTCATTTTACACATGTCTGGTGCAAATTATGTGGTTTTGTTTCATTAATACAGTAGCCTATATATATTTTTTTCTTGATATAGCCCGAAAGAATGGAAGTGTGACAACATGCCCCATAGATGTAACATGACCATACGACAGATTAAAATGTTATCTGGTCTAATAAAAAAAAATATACGACAAACTAAAATATTTTTTCAATAAAATACAATTATTGACTTTTTCATATAAAATAACGGCATTTTTTTAATAATTAAAAATAAACTAATTTTGGAGTTTGACAACGAACACAGGAAAACACAAATACAACATAGATCAAAACATTAATAATTATTGACTCTCAGTCTTTATTCACCTTTTTTCTCATGGGTTCTCAATGGAATTCATAAAAGTATAGAATAGAATGGCATATTTATAATAGAGGCTCAATGTAACGCAAATTTAGAATTTTGGCGCAATTTTTTTCTCTATATTGTTGATATGGCAAGTGGCAACTAGTAATACACGAAGTTTGCTAGCATGTGTGGAAGTATTTAAAACAAGTGTGTTACAACTAACCCGCGCTACGTTGTGCCCCGCTCTCACTTGCTTGATATAAGATCTTGAATTATGAAAAGTGAAGTACTAAAATATAATTCTTGTCGAGATGCACGTGTATTATATGTGAGGCTGAGGAAACCCGGTGCGCGCGCTTCATCACGTGTTATACGATCAGATGAGTGCATGAATACATTCTCAAATAAATGATCAGTTTTGTACTTTTTGTTTGCTAATATATAACTGCTTTGAGAATATGCATCATTAACTGCACGTGGTTTAATGGACAACCAGACTCATTCAGTCAAATGTTTGCTGGAAAGTGAGTCATATCCGAAGTTGATTCCGTTACAGGGTTTGACTGATTGAGGGAGTTTCCTTTATGCATGATTCAAACCGAGTCTTTCTGAACATTTCATTAAAATAACCCATTATTTCACCGTCTTTTTTTATTTCATCGCCTTCTACCAGATTTAAGCCATGTATGATTTGTTGTTATAAAAACATAAGCCAGACAGAGTGACTCATCCTTCATTCAGACGCTGTTATTTTAGTCAGTAATCGTATATACTTTTCTCTCATAAACATTAAGTCCATATAAGGCGTTAGTAGGTTGATTTGAAAACACTGCTATTTTTTTGTTTTCTTAGTATATACAACACAATTTAGTGAAGCTTAAGCTAAAAAATAACATTTGTAAGTGGGGTAAAAAAAATATATATCTTACACATTCTCAAATAACATTTGTAAGTGGGGCAAAAAAATATATATCTTACACATTCTCAAGTAAATATAATGGTAGCAAATGAGATCATTTAAATAACATTAATATACAATTATATAATAATAAATTTAAGTATAGTAGTATTTAATATTAATTTAAATCATATTATTAAAATAAATAAATCATATTATTTAAAAAATAATTCAATATTATTGTTTAATAATAATTTGAATAATGTTAGTAAATAATAAGCTAAATCAAATTATTTAATAAAACATCTAATAATATTATTTAATATTAAATTAAATCATATTATTAAAATAAATACATAATATTATTTGACAATTTATTAAATATTATTATTTAATAATAATTTGAATAATATTATTGAATAATAAACTAAATTAAATTATTTAATAATCAATTAAATAATAGTATTTCATAAAAAAAAAATGTAATGAACATTTATTTCACCATTTTTTTTAAAAGTGAAATGATTCTCTCCTACAGGTACAGTTATGAGGAGTGCAAGGCCACAGCTGATTGGCTGTTAGCCCAGAGTCAGGTGCGCCCCCTGGTGGGGATCGTGTGCGGCTCGGGTCTCGGTGGACTGGCAGAAATGCTGAAAGATCAGCTGGTCATCAAGTACAGCGACATCCCAAACTTCCCTCAGAGCACCGGTGAGTTCAGACACACTTGATTTCTGCTTTCAACTCTGAAGTCCTCCCGCTGTACTGTGTTGTTATTGATCTCGCACCTTCATAACTGCTTGTGTTCTGCAGTGCACGGACATGCTGGAAAGCTGGTGTTTGGCACCCTGAAAGGAAAGCCGTGCGTTTGCATGCAGGGAAGGTTTCACCTCTATGAAGGATACTCCATTCAAAAGGTGATTTGACACGCTTGTGATTAACAGCAGCTCGAAGAAAATTAGATGAATTCTATTAGGAGAGCTCTCTAATCCAACTTTTACTAGCAAGAATTCTATTTTAAGAGCTCTCTAATCCAACTTTTACTAGTAAGAATTCTATTTTAAGAGCTCTCTAATCCAACTTTTACTATTAAGAATTCTATTTTAAGAGCTCTCTAATCCAACTTTTACTAGTAAGAATTCTATTTTAAGAGCTCTCTAATCCAAATTTTACTAGTAAGAATTCTATTTTAAGAGCTCTCTAATTCAGTTGTTACCAGTAAGAAATCTATTTTAGGAGCTCTCTAATCCAATTTTACTAGCAAGAATTCTATTAGGAGAGCTCTCTAATCCAACTTTTACTAGCAAGAATTCTATTTTAAGAGCTCTCTAATCCAAATTTTACTAGTAAGAATTCTATTTTAAGAGCTCTCTAATCCAACTTTTACTAGCAAGAATTCTATTTTAAGAGCTCTCTAATCCAACTTTTACTAGCAAGAATTCTATTAGGAGAGCTCTCTAATCCAACTTTTACTTGTAAGAATTCTATTTTAAGAGCTCTCTAATCCAAATTTTACTAGTAAGAATTCTATTTTAAGAGCGCTCTAATCCAATTTTACTAGCAAGAATTCTATTAGGAGAGCTCTCTAATCCAACTTTTACTAGCAAGAATTCTATTTTAAGAGCTCTCTAATTCAACTTTTACTATTAAGAATTCTATTTTAAGAGCTCTCTAATCCAAATTTTACTAGTAAGAATTCTATTTTAAGAGCTCTCTAATCCAACTTTTACTAGCAAGAATTCTATTAGGAGAGCTCTCTCATCCAACTTTTACTAGCAAGAATTCTATTAGGAGAGCTCTCTAATCCAACTTTTACTAGCAAGAATTCTATTTTCAGAGCTCTCTAATCCAACTTTTACTATTAAGAATTCTATTTTAAGAGCTCTCTAATCCAAATTTTACTAGTAAGAATTCTATTTTAAGAGCTCTCTAATCCAACTTTTACTAGCAAGAATTCTATTAGGAGAGCTCTCTCATCCAACTTTTACTAGCAAGAATTATATTAGGAGAGCTCTCTAATCCAACTTTTACTAGCAAGAATTCTATTTTCAGAGCTCTCTAATCCAACTTTTACTATTAAGAATTCTATTTTAAGAGCTCTCTAATCCAAATTTTACTATTAAGAATTATATTAGGAGAGCTCTCTAATCCAACTTTTACTAGCAATAATTCTATTAGGAGAGCTCTCTAATCCAACTTTTACTAGCAAAAATTCTATTAGGAGAGCTCTCTAATCCAACTTTTACTAGTAAGAATTCTATTAGGAAAGCTCTCTAATTCAGTTGTTACCAGTAAGAATGCCAATGCAGACCTCTCTTATTCAATAACAGAGCTCTGCAATTATAAATATCTTTAATGTGTTTTTTTACTAGTAAAAATTAAATTAGAGAGCTCTGTAATTGAAAATTAATGAAAGTCAATGGAGACATGACTAGTAAAAATTAATTTGTAGAGCTCTCTAATAGGAATTGTTACTAGTAAAAATGCAATTTATATCAAGTAATTCTGGGACCATTTTAAGCTAAAACGGCTTGCCATAATGTTCTTGGAATGTTCTGAAACAAGTAGTAACATTTTTATAAATAGTGTTTCTGTTTTGAAAACATTAAAAAAGACCAGATAATGGAACAAACTTTTTTATTAATGTCACTGGATGAATGTTTGTTCATAACATTGAGAGGTTTCTGGGAACGTTCCCTGTTAGCTGAGGAGAAACTCTAAAAGACAAACAGCCGCTGCTCATGTATTGGCAGTGTTTGCTCAATGTAAATATCAGTGGCACCTTTATTGTCTTTATAAATAAAACATAAACTTTGCACCGCAGAGTTACATAATTATCTCAGCTGTCTTTCTAGTTCATCCGCAACTTTTTTTCTGCGTTCATCTTTCTTTAGTGTGTGATGTTGCTGTTTGAGCATAAACAAGCACCAGTTCTTCTCTATATCAGAGTCAGTGTTCCTGAACTCCTGAAACACCTCCACTGTAGTCTTGAGTTTCTCCCGGGAACGAACACGTCTCAATATTCCTCATTATAATAATTAATGCGCAGAATAAAGGGGCGGGGCCTGGTTGAGTTAGTTAGTAGTGTGTTAAACTGGCGGTTATGGGAAGGGGCGGGACATTTCCCAAACACACTCGAAGCGCTCGACCAATCACATCACACTGCTCCAGCCGACCAATCAGAGCACAGTGTGCTTTTCAGAAGGAGGGGCTTCATAGAGACAGGAAGTAAACAGCGTTACTGACAGACTGGGAAGAGAGGAGCCGCAACAATGGAGAATATGAGGAGAATAATCAACATTCAAGCAGGAGAACCTGTTCTAGACAACATCAAGACTTAAACGGCCTCTTTAAAAGTTTTTGAAAATAATGTCACAATGCAAAAACTTTATGTAATACATATTTGTGTTGATTTTGACGTATTTTTGACACGTATCATGATTTTTCAGATTTTATTTATGGTATGATTGTGATTGGTGTGTGTTGTGGTATTGGCAGACCACCATGCCCATCCGGGTCTTTAAGCTCATGGGTGTGGAGACGGTTCTCCTGACCAACGCCGCTGGCGGACTGAACCAGGACTTTAATGTGGGCGACATCATGGTTATAAAGGATCACATCAATATTCCCGGCTTCGCTGGAAACAACCCGTTAGTGGGACTGAATGACGAGAGGTAAGATTGAGCTGGTCTGTATTCAGTGTGTGATTTGATGCCCTTGTTAGTAAGATATTTTACTACATAAATAATGACATTATAGCAAGGACAGGCCATTGATAAATCATAATTCATAATTATTAATTTGAAATCGAAAGTCATGAAATGAAAGTCTTTTCTTCACGATTGTGCCGTATATCCAAGTGGCAACCTTCAGTTCTTTTCTCTTGAATCCAACATGGAAGTGACTTAAACTGCAATTCATCAACTGGCCACTAGAGGCCGGCTCCAAAAGAGAAAAGTTCTGCATAATTAAGGGCGTGGCCACTTGAGTGACACTTTTGTCACTAGCCGTTTGTCTGCATTTTATTATGCAGAACTTTAAGGCTTAATATAATTGAAATTCCTTTTCTGCTGTAAAGTTGGGCATTTTAACATGCGGGTCTATGGGATTGACTCTCTTTTGCAGCCGGCCTCTAGTGGCCAGTCGATGAACTGCAGTTTAAGTCACTTCAGTGTTGATTCGAGAGAGAGACGGAGGTTGCCGTTTGGTTTTACCAGAGAAAGTCTAATATGGGGAGAACTCCCACTCACATTAAACTTCCGGGTTCTGAACTGTTGCAGTTCCACTCCGGCTCCACATGAGGGCGCTCACAGGACGAGTGCAGAATGAATGGAGGTCTATGGAGATATACCCCTCAAAATACACTTTTCTCAGGATATAATTTTTATTTAGAAATGACACATTACTGGGTGTTAGATTTTTTTTAGTTTATTTGCTTTAAAAAGTCTTTTAAAATGTCAATGACGTCACACACATCGCGTGACCAGAGATACTGCTTAACGGCAATCCTTCAGTCACTTCGGTGCGTTCGCGCTCTGCACTTTCTGTTCTCTCGAGACAGCGGACACAGGTAAACACACGTGCTAGAAGAGTTTTTGTTAATAACATTCTGGTCCCGCTTCGGATGCTACGATGCCATCAAGCGGTCGTAATCAGTCCTTCACTGACCAATCAGCGTTCATTAGCAGAATGCTAGCGTGTTATGGGCAACAACAACTCAACCTGGAAGAAATGGAAAGGACATAAGTACTCGTTCATTCAGCTTTCGCCCTATAACCCATGTTGAACTTGCAGAACCTACAATCAAATCTGAGATTTCTCAACGGCTCCATAGACTCCCATTCACTCATGGGCGATCGCCCCCAGTGGAGCTCTGGTGGAACTACAACCACAATTCGGTACAATAGACTTAATAGGGAGTGGCCAGGCTCTCCGTAGACGGGCTCTGGTTTTACCCAAAGTTGAACATTCTTCGACTCTGGCGTTTTAAAAACTCGCTCCCATTGAGAACAATTGGAAAAATACGCCAGCCGCGTGAAAAACAAAAACGTGTCGGTGGACACAGGGCCTAATGCTGTGTTCACACCAGACGCGAATTTAATTATTTGCGCGAGTAGATTACATATAAAGTCAATGCAAAGACGCATATTCATGCGGGGCGGCGCAAATGGCGTGAATAGGGCGACGCGGCTGCCGCGAACGGTCGATATTCGCCTCAATTGCGTCTTCCGCGCAAGTTGAAAAATTTCAACTCGAGGGTAAAATTCGCATGATCTCACGCAATTTCACACGCAAGCCAATCAAGAAATGTTGTGTTTGTTGATGTGCGTGACACACACACACACACACACACACACACACACATAGAGAGACACACACACACACACACATACACATAGAGAGACACACACACACACACACACAGAGAGAGAGACACACACACACACAGAGAGAGACACACACACACACACACACACATAGAGAAACACACACAAACACACACACATAAACACACACACACACACACATAGAGAAACACACACAAACACACACACATAAACACACACACATACACACACACATAAACACACACACAAACACACACACACATACACATAAAGACACACACACACACACACACACACACACATAGAGAAACACACACATAGAGAAACACACGCACGCACACACACACACACATAGAGAAACAGACACACACACACATAGAGAAACACACACATAGAGAAACACACGCACACACACACACACACACACACACACACACATAGAGAAACACACACATAGAGACACACACACACATGGAGACACACACACACACACAGAGAGAGACACACACACACACACACATAGAGAGACACACACACACACACACACATAAAGAGAGACACACACACACACACACACATAGAGAGACACACACACACACACACACACACATAGAGAGAGACACACACACACACACAAATAGAGAAACAGACACACACACATAGAGAAACACACACATAGAGAAACACACACATAGAGAAACACACACATAGAGAAACACACGCACACACACACACACACACATAGAGAAACACACACATAGAGAAACACACGCACACACACACACACACACACACACACACATAGAGAAACACACACATAGAGACACACACACACATGGAGACACACACACACACACAGAGAGAGACACACACACACACACACATAGAGAGACACACACACACACACACACATAAAGAGAGACACACACACACACACACACATAGAGAGACACACACACACACACACACACACATAGAGAGAGACACACACACACACACAAATAGAGAAACAGACACACACACATAGAGAAACACACACATAGAGAAACACACACATAGAGAAACACACACATAGAGA